ATCTTCAACTGTGGTGTAAATTTCCGACTCCTAGCTGATCATGGTCGTGAGCTATTAATTAATTATTATTAATGGCATTTTCATTAATTAACTCATATCTCCGTCCAAAAGGCGCATGGGCGCAAACCAACTTGGAGTTTTTCACTGCTGACTATTCCCTACATGATGAAAATAGTCTGAGTCGAAAAGCTTTTAATCACCTCGAGAGGTTCCCTCGTGAGAGCAGAGACACAGAATTTGGAGATCATGAAGTAGTCTAATCAGATATCGAGATGTTCGTGAATCAAGATAGCATTTCTAATTACAAGCAACGCTTAAGCACTGCATCGCTTTGTGATCACAAAAAACATATATTTTTTAGTTAATTTTGCATAGGTCTTACCTTCCTCCCGTAATGACTTGATCTCGTTTGTACCAATAGACTTTAGGCGTCGGTGCTCCAAATGTTTCACATTGTAGTGTAACATCAGCTCCCTCGACGACACGCAACAATGTTTCTGGACCTTTTTGAATTTCTGGTGGTTCGGCTATCAATAAACAGAGATTATTAGCCAAAACACAAATAGTAGATTTTTTTGTACTTACAAATAACATTGATAAAAAAATTTGAAAATTGATAACCATGAATATTAGTTACGTTGCATTGGTAAACAGCCGTATCTAACTTAGTGACATTTTGTAAAACGAGACGATTTTTAATTACTTTACGTCGAGGATTACGTGGCACAGATGGATCCAACAGAGGAATACCATTTCGAAACCACTGAACAGGGCCCGGAGGTGGCTTTGCTTCAGCATCACACACAAACTCAACCGTTTCACCTGATAACAATAAAGAAAATTAGCTCAAGTTAATGTCTAAATGGTTCATTCTTACCTTCTGTGACATGAACATCTTTTGGTTTTACTTTCCAATATGGTTGAGCTTCAATACGCACATTAATACTAAAGACCTCAGCGCCCAATTCTACAATAAACAATTTTATTATTATTCGTCCAAAAAGTCAGCGGTCGCGGCTAGTTTCTGAATAACTTTTGATAGATAAATAATAAAAATATGCGGTTCTCAGTATTTTGTAGTCAAGACCTTGCCGCACGCACTGGCAGAAAAATCGAATCAAATTGTCGAGATATGCTCTATTTTATACGTAGTGTATCTTGAAATTCATTAAAACTATTAAAATCTTCTCTAAAAATCTTCGCTTAATTTCTAAGACTTCTAGAAAATCTTTTAAAACCTAAAATACGCTTTATTGGATATTAATTGTTTTAATGAATTCCAGGATACAATACGTGTAAAATAGAGTATATCTTGACATTTTGAAGTGGTTTGAATCGTTTTTCACTTAACCATAAATATTTAATTTTACCACGAAAATAGCCAAAAGTGGATTATTTCACCTAAAACAGGTTTTCAGAAAACATCCGTAACCACTGACTTTTTGGCCGGATAATAGGTTATGATTGCATACACTTTTGCGATCACAACATAAAGTCAAACACATCGTTTATCTCAGAACCCAAAGTATTCTCAATGTTATCAAATGTGCTATGTTTGCCGGATCTAGAGAAGGTTTGTTGGTAAAAAAGATATTGATAGATCGTTGAAAATAACACAAATATGAACAATTGCTAAAATGCTCAACGCTTACCATTTGTTCCCCGACATTCATATACACCATAATCTTCAAATGTCAAATCACTAATTGTTAATTCTTGTTTTTCCATGGTTAACGATGAACGCCGATCTGGAAATCCTGATCCTGTTGTGTTCAATTTTCGCCAAATCACTTGAGGTGTTGGTAAACCACCAAATATACATTTCAACGTCATTTTGTATCCTACAATATAGAGGAAAACATTATGTTTTTGTATTCGATATAAATAGCGCATTTTGAATTTGTTAATTAACGAAATTTGTTCAAATCATTGTTTAAATGATTTGTGGTGTTATTTTCCAAACACAAATGCTTACCTCTTAAAAATACTTTATTTGCTTCTGATGACCATAAACGTTTTGGTTTCCAAAGCGATGCATCCGTTTTAATTACTTTTATTTGTGTTAATTGACCACGTCGAATCACATTTAGCTTTTTACTAAAGACATTACATATGTATTGCCGTTGTTCATCTTCATCTAACACATTTAAAAAATAAAGACGACCTAGAAAAAGAAAAAAAATCATGAAATATAAAATAGTATTTATTTTCAATAATCGTTATCAAAACTAGTTCATTGTCGATGATGGAAGAATTCCAATCAAATATGAATAACCATAAATTCTTTAAAATATTATACGTGCCATTTTTTTAGCAGTTAATAAAATATGTACTATTACTAACCATAATAATCTTGCTGTATTCTTGCATTTGATACCAGAAAACCAAATTGATCACCAATATTTGAGTTATCAGTCCAATAAGTTTCAGGATCAGGAACACCTGTGGGTGGTTGACATGGTAATACAGCAGATCTACCACGCTCAACAGTTATAATATTTGGTCTATCACTCGTAATTGGAAAACCACCCAATTCTAAAAACAAAAGATTAACAGAAATTTTTAAAGAAATACAGTAGACGTCATAAGTCTCGCACCACTTTTTTATTTTGACTCGTGTATTAAAACTACACAACATTAATTTAATTTGATTATATGTCTGTATAGTAGAGGTCGAGTACTATATATATACATCTGTTTAATATGAAAAATCCTTGAATATAAAATGCAATAAAAAGAGACAAAGGTCAGTCCTAAGAAAAAAATGACATAAAAAAAGACAAAATGATAATAAAACTGTTTGGAAGACGTTTTTGTTTTACAATAGGAATTGTTTATACAGATTTTATAGAGCTTTCGACGGCGCATCTTTTGAAAAAAAATCAAGGTGCTACCATTTTCTTAAGCCGAGATACATGCAAAATATAAGTCTTCCAAACATTTTTATTATGTTAAATACGGTGGGAAGTAGCACTATCATGTATTATTTTTTCATTTCGAG